GCCAGCCCATCCCCACCATGCCCATTAACTATGTCCCTCAGTGCCACATGTCCCTCAGTGCCACATCCACATGGTTCTTGAACACCTCCAAGGATGGTGACTCCACCACCTCCTTGGTCAGCCTGTGCCACTGCCTCACCACTATTTCTGAGAATAGATTTTTCCTAATACCAACCTGAATGAAGTTTGCCAACAATTCAGTGCAGTTCAAAACTGTTGGTGCCATTATCTGAGCACTCAACATTGTCCCCTTAGTCAAAATAATTAAATAAATGAAATAAATGCATAATTAAACCAAGATGTCACCACGGGAATACATTTTTTCTGCTTTTTAAATATGCTCTCCTGGTGAAGCTGAGTGCTCTGCCATATCCTTGTCTCTTGTGCTCTCTGCGTGGGTGTGAGTGGTGACATGAAGGGTCAGTGCAAAGATGACCCTGAAGGATGAGTAGATGGAATGGCTGGCAGGATAAGGTAAAGCAGGTGAGATACGTGGACTTTGGGGTGGTGGAGGACCCTGGATGCAGACAGGCAAGTGAAGTTTGTGCTGGCCTCTGCTGGCTCTGGACATCCACGACCTTCCTCAAGGCGAGCAGCATGTCCTCTGCCAGCCAAGGGTGCAGGATGAGGCCCTGCCACCAGGGCTTGCCCTTGGCAACATACACAGTAGCCAGTGTGACTGAGAGGATCAAAGTCTCAGGGGGAAACAAAAGTACAGCATGGAAGGTATAAAATTGTCGTTTACAACGCGCACATCGCCCCGGTGAACTTTCTGAGGTACGTGTTGTTTTAGACTTGTTGTCCTATAACCCCTAGAGACTTATTTCCTCAGCTCTTCCCTGAAGAGATAAGTGGCCGCCTCTCTGCAGCCTGGGGGTGGGGTGGGATGGGGTGGTATCTGCTCGTTAAATGGGAACCCCTCTTATCCCTGTTGCTCTTCTTTCCTAAAGCTGTGAGGAGACCAGCAGAGGATTCTTTCCCCACTCCCAGCCTTCCCAAACTCCCTCTGGACTGTTCAAACCTCTTCATATGGGCTGGCCCCTACTCAGTCACATCTGCAATTACACTGCTAGGGGTGATTTCAGCCTCCGGTGCCATCCCCTATGGCCCCACACACAAAAGTCTGATGGGATGGCTTTGGTGTGGCACTGAGGGACGTGGTTAGTAGGCATGGAGGTGTTGGGCTGCTGATTGGACTGGACGATCTTAGAGGTCTTTCCCAATCATAATAATTCTTTGATTCTAATGTGGAGCAAAGCACTATCCGCAGCAGTACCAAAGTGCTGCTACCTCCACATGTGGATGTGGAAAGCAGACTGAGCACTGCAGATCCAAATGAAAAAGTGCTTGAAAAAAAACCCATCCAGCGTACCCAAGAAGATGAAGAATCATAGAATCATAGAATGGCCTGGGTTGAAAAGGACCTCAAAGACCATCTAGTTTTAACCCCAGCTATGTGCAGGGCCCCCAACCACAGACCAGGCTGCCCAAAGCCACATACAGCCTGGCCTTGAATGCCTCTAGGGATGGGGCATCCACTTCAAACATTGTCTGCTGCAGTGATGTCTCCCTGGCGCTCCCATTTGAAATGCCAACAACCACCAAACAGCAGCTCTCTGAGACAAGGCTAGAAGGAGCAAACCACTCTCAAAACCAATGCCCCATTGGTGTCACCTTCACCTTGCCAGGTGTTTGCAGCTGCCATTGCAGTGTCACCAAGGGTGGTGGTGGCTCAAGGACCAGTGGTGAGAGACCAGTGCATCCATCACTTGTACAATGCCCACATTGTGCTCTTCTTCTTGAAGAGGTGCTGTGTCAGAAGTGAGCCATGGGCACTCAGAAACTAAACTTGGATGAAAGGGGAACCAGTTTTAAACTAAAAGAGAGGAGGTTTACATTAGATGTCAGGAAGAAATTCCTTGCCCAGAGGGCAGTGAGGCCCTGGCCCAGGCTGCCCAGAGAAGCTGTGGTGCCCACCCCATCCCTCAAGGCCAGGTTGATGGGGCCCTGAGCAGCCTGAGCTGGTTGGGGGCAGCCCTGCCCATGGCAGGAGTTGGGGCAGCTTGGGCTTTGAGTTTCCCCCAACCCAAACCATTCTAAGATTCCATGAAAATGAAAAGAAGCTGAGAAATTGCAAGGGTATGCTATGTGCCCATAATAAGCTTCCTTTAAGTGTAAATGCTAGAAGGTATGACTTGGAGACACAGGCTTGATGAGGATTTATACATTTTCATACTGTTTTTCTTGTATTTTCTAGCCTGGAGTGTCCCAGCTATCCAGAGCTCAGCACTGCAGCAGGGCAGTTCCTGTGGAAAGAAACTGAGCTGTTCCAGGCTCCTGTCGCCACCAAACCCTCAGGGACAGGGCTCTGCCATGTCCATCAGCCAGGCAGTAAGTGTGTTTCCACACAAGCTGGAAAACAGAGATTTTTCCTGAGTTATCATAGCCAGCATTGGCTGTGACAAGGCTACTTGAGCTTTCCAAGCCCTCCTGGTTCTACGTTTGTCTTGCAACAGTGCCAAGAGCAGTATTATAAAAATGTCCACAGATAGTGATTCTGAATGTGAGCGTGTGCCTGAGCACACCTGCAGCCCTTGATTATGTGCCAGAGAAGTCAGAAGGCTTTTTTTTTTGGTGTGTGTGAAGTGGTGAGAAGTGTGACTTTGCCAATGGGACAGCTCTTAGCACAATTGGGTGATGAAGAAAGAGGTTCTTGGCTTGTTAGTTACAGCTTCTCTGTTTATGAGGATGTCCAGTAAGTTTTCTGGCCAGGAGTTTCTATGAAGTCACGTTTTCTGGAAATAGCAGCTCCAGGCTGTGTCACTGAGGAGTAGTTTGCAGTGAGCACCATGAGGTGCTGCACAGAAAGCAGAGAAAAGCCATGGGTTGGCAACCTACTCCAGGTGGATTTGAAGCCAGTGGAAGAGCAAGGCTTGCTATAAAGACCAGTGAAATCATAGAATCCTAGAATCATTAAGATTGGAAAAGACCTTTAAGATCGTCTAGTCCAGCCATCAAACAACCACCATCACCATGCCCACACATAGAATCATAGAATCGTAGAATCCTTAGGTTGGAAAAGACCTTCAAGATCATTGCCTCCAACTCATCACCATCTTGTCCACTAAACCATGTCCCTCAAATATCCCCATCATATTCCCATCTGTTCTTTGGGTGTGGTGGAGCCAGACGCAGTCTCATGTACTATTGTGGCATCCAGGCACATTTTAGGAGGCCCACAGGAAACTGAGGAAGTGGCAGTGTGGGAATGTGGTAAATACAGAGAAATTTGGCCTGAGCAGGGCGGGTGTGATGCCAACTGTATCTGCTGCCTTGCAGAAACCTTCACAACAGGACAGAGCAATATGAGAGGAGGATAAGAAGCATGCATGCTTTTAATACCACAAACCAAGCACAAAGATAAGACTTGTTCTGTCTTTGGAGTTTGCCAAGTGAGGGGGGAGCTTTCAGCAAGGCCTGCTGTCGAGGCAGGAGGATTTAATGCTGCTTGACAGGGCTTCCCCAGTGGGCTTGCGCTGTGCACCAACCCTCTGTTCGCTCCCATATGGAACAGATGCTGTTGTTATTGCTGCTCAGAGGCAGCACTGAGATTAGCAGTTTCCACGTACAGATATTTCTCCGGCATTACATAACCCATGTATTTAACACACAGTAAATTTTCATTGCAAATTGGCTGCTGTGGGGGCACTCACATTTATAAAAAGCCATTTCCTCCCCAAGACGTGTAGTTACACTGTAGCTGTGGTTTGATCTGATTACGAAAGCTGTACTTGAGAATATAGTGCATGTGGGACTGTGGGATCTCAGCATTTAAAAAAAAAAATTAGAAGTCCCAGGGCTCATCATTAGTTTTTCAAGTTAAGCAGCATGGAACAGCTTCAAACTGTTTCATGTTCACCTGTGAGCAGCAAAGTAACGCTGTACGCAGTACGATGCTGAAGAGATGTGTGCAATGGATCGCATAAAGTTCTTCACCATGCATCTACCATGGAGCAGAGCAAAAACTGAGGTACAGTATTCACTCTCAGTCAGTGAATTAGGGAGAGAAAAGATTAGAACACACTTCAGATATCTGTCTGGCTGTCTCAGAAAACTTCATTTTCATGCTAAGTGTAGTTTTAGAATGTCACCCTGAAAATGTGTGACATTTTAATAGGCTGATTGCCAAGATTCACAAATCTGTTCATTTGCGTATGAATCACAGCATCAAATATTTTGGAAAACGTAAAAGAAACTAGAATTATGAGAGAATGCCTTACACTCCCCTTGGTTAAACTTATGTTGGGAAGATTCTATAGTTTTATTGTCTCTCCAGAAATTAAATTGTCACTCCAGAGATTAAAGAATGTTGTGGCGTTCCTGTATGTATCATCTGGTCGTGATTGCATAGGTTCTCTATCACAACTGTCTCTAAACAACAGCCTGGTTATTTCCCTGCTTCCAGTAAGCCACACCACGTATGGCAGCATCATGACAGTCATTAGCTTCACCACATTTCTGTAGAACTTCCAATAAGATCAGTGGGATTGCACCAGCATCTCTCTATCCTTTCTCCACAGGTTGCTCTTCAGGTTGCTCAGGCAAATAACAGAGCCAAAACAAGCAGTAAGAATCATCCATTACAAAAATTCCATGCACTTCAATTAGGGAAAGCTCTGGAGCTTGCACTATGCGATTAGCTACTGTATGCCAGGGTCCCCAGTGAGGCATGTGGGAGTTAAGCACATGCATAAGTCCCTGTTGGATTAGGGTTTATGATTTAGAGCAAATCCTTCCACTGAAACAAAACTTCCTATCAGGATCTAACCCTTGAACAATTTTAATGGGAGGAGGGTGCAGTCGTGTTCCTACAGCAGGTTTTCTCATCTAATATAACTAGCTCAGTGCAGGACTTGGCATGTCCTGAGCAATTGTTTATAGCTCCTGCACAGCACATCTGCTTTGGGAGCTGATTTGTGACGGAAATCCGCTCAAGTAGAGATGGTAAATTTGATTTATTTGTGAAAAAGAAGAGAAGAATTCCACAGCAAAACAATCTGGGTCACAATGTACTTTGGATTACAGGATTTAGTGCAGAAGAAAAGGCCCAGACCACACAGCCCAGATCCAGCTCCCAAACACCACAAGTTTTGAGGTTAATCAAATCTAGGGCTTAGTTCATTCATTTGTGAGGATATCTGTGCAGCTTGGAGCTGACCCCACACTCGGATCTTCTCATCTCCCTGGGGCTCCCCTAGGACTGTGCAAATCCAAGGGTCAGGCCCTGCTTCTGTTTGCTTGCAGCAAGCCCAAAGGCACATGCACAAATAGCTGGTAAAGGAGCCAGGAAGGCAGAGGCATTGATAGAGAGAGCTGACTGTGGGTCCCCATGGGCCTGAGGAGGTGTGCAAGGACGAATAGGTCGTGCCAGGAGGCAGGCATGTGGCTCAGTGCCATGGCAGCCAAGCTGTGTGAGGAGAAGGCCTTGTGTGTGTAGGGCGGCCTTTCCCCACTGCAAGAAGACCGGAGTGGATGAGCAGCCTGGTGTGGGCTCACCTGTCATGGCTGGTGGGAAGGAGATTTGCAGGGTGAGGCAGTGCACTGGAGCCCACAGCGGCATCTGGGCTCCTGCCTCTATGAATACATTGCTGGAAGTGTTGCCCTTGTGATGTGGTTGTAAGACCAGAAACGTTACCAATGCCTCTCCTCTTCTGGAGACCAGACCCTCCCCTCTCCTGTACAGCCCCTCACCTTGTATTCATTATGAAAGCACTCATCTGGCAGCAGAGTTGGGTCCTACCTGAGTGTATAACACAAAACAAAACAAGGACTACTACGACACCCCTTTCTGTAGAAGAATATATTATTTAGCAGATCAGTTTAAAAGTAAAAAAAAAAATAAAATAAAAATCTGTACATCTTTGAAGGTTCTTCTTGATGCTGTCACTTTTTGCATTCCATTCATGAGGATAAAAACCTGCGCAGTGGTGCTGTGTGGTGCTCCCCTTTGCTTATGCCAAAGGACCCCTGACACTGCTGGGCACAAAGCAAACCTGTAAGTCCATGAAGGCTTCTTCTGACTTCTAGTGCAGAAAAGAAAACTGCATCCACTATGCTGGGCTTCTGAATGTACTGTGAACACTATAAAATTCATAGGATAATACAGAGAAATGTGTTATTAGGGCCTACCTGGCAAACAAAAATATCTGCCAGGCCCCTGTCATTACATAAGCATCTGTTAAGCTGTGCTGTAATAGCATACTGCAATACAGGTATGTGCAGGATCTTGAATAAAACAAGTTTTCATTTGTTTTGGACACCAGCGGTTTGTTTAACAGAAACAGCTCCTTAGCTTAGCTCCACTTCGTCCCTGGAGACAGCAGTTCCCAGTGCTGGCCGTAGAGGCAAACCCAGCGGGGAAGGAGCTGTGCCATGGCCTGCGTGTCCATCTTGGTGTGCCATCTTGGTGTCCATCTTGGCCACCTCATCCCAAGTGTCCTTTCTGCTGGATTCCGCCACATCCGTTTGGCAAATGCAATGTTTCTCAAGAAGAAAATAACTGTAGGGGCAACATTTTGCTCAAAGTCTTTTTCTTCTCACTTTTCGGTAGTGCCAGTGGTCAGGCTGTCACTTTTCTTCTTCTGCAGCTGCAACGAAGAACAAAACAGTATTAGCGCCACAGACTCAAACAGTGCAGCTTTCCACTGCTGAGACTCCAGCATCCAGCTCCCTACAATTTGTTGTTCAGGAGGCCCTGTTTCATCTCAACAGCCCTGAAGTTAGGTCTGGAGGAAACAGAACTCAGTGTTTCTCATCATCTCTCCTGTTAGACTCTAGGGCTATTCGCTGACTCTTATTGTTTGAGGTGATGTCTGAATTCAGGCAGCTCTTATTTTTCTAAGACCTCTTGCAACAACACACCGTTAATTATAGCTCCATCCGTTTGTATAAACTTTCTGCTTTGACAGCTTCTATAAACAGAAGTAAAATTTCAGCTTGGCTTGAAAGATGAAGAGGTCATGGAAAATCTTGCTCTTATCTTATGTTCTTTTTCGCTCCTTTGAGCTCATAAAAGATTTTCTACTCCTTTATCACTCAGTGACTTCAAAACATACATTCTCTGATTAACCAGCCTTAGTATTTGTGCTGCTGAGAAGGTTTTCCTCCAAACAACTTGGAAGGAGGTGAGATCTACAGCCAAAAGCCACCATTCCCCTCATCCATCCAGGGACAACCACGTGAATGAACCTTCATTTCCCATATATCAAGAAATATCAGCACAACTAGTACTCTGGGACACTTGCCAATTTATTTTAATGACACAGTGATAGAGAGAGTCCTGTCTACATGATGAATTTTTTCATGTCAGAGAAAACCCCAGAGTGTGGTGCCATTTTGATAGGTTTTATTTACTTGTCTCAGCAGGGGAATGAAGCACTGGAAGAGACGTGCAAGGAAGGTGTATCTTGCCATAGAAGGAGACTGTGCCTCAGTGGTGCAGTTCCTTGAACTGTACAGGCCCTGAATACCTTGCTGTTACCTAGCCTAGGCCAGCTCCTTCCAGGGGAAGGCAGCTTCCTCCCTGGAAGAGAAACTTGCTGCTACACTCCCCAGGCCATTATCCCTGGGGCTGGCCTTCAGGCATCCCTCCTGCTGGCATCTCCCTCCCCATGGTTGAGCTGGGGTGGCTTGAGGATGCCCATGTGCATGCCAACAGTTTGTGACACCCACCTGCTTCCAGCTTGGTGTGATGAATATGGTTCTCACGGTTATGGGGATGCTGTAAGCATTCCTAGTGCTTCAGAATTAAATGGCTATTAAATTGCAATGTTTAACTTACTAAATCATACCATTTGCTTTATGAAACAGATATTTAGAGCTTACCTCTTTCATAGCATCATCTATCTGTTTTAACTCCTCATAGCGGTCTCTGGACTCCCAAAGGGGCTGAAGCATCATCTCCTCCACTTCAGGGAATAGCTAGGTGAAAACAAGAGAGAGAAGTGCAACATTTCTTTTTGTATTCATAAACCTACACCTGCTAGAAACAGACTAAAGGTAGACTGTGAAATGAATATCCCCACAGCTATTTGCACACATGCCAGAGCCAGTGTTGAAGCTCCGCAAGCTCCCAGGTCTGGTTCTGGCCTTGGTTGACCCACCTTTGTTACTGTCTCAAACATGGGGATGAGAACAAACTTCAGGAAGCCGATCTGTGCGGTTGGCTTGGTTACTTTATCACGGTCCATAAAAGGCGCCACTGGAAGACCCTCCGATTTTTCTCGGTCACTCTGGAACAAATTCAGAGTTAAAAAAACTTTATTCTTGGCTAGAAGCCAAGAGAGCAATGTACCAAGGAGTCCACTAGCTACAGGACAGCAGTTTTCAGATGCAGATCTCAGCAACGTCTGAAGATAACATGGAATAGCAATATTCTTCCCTCAGGCCAATACATCCTGCCTCTGAATAAAGAGAACTCTGATTAGCTACATCTGCACAGCATCAGCAGGTATTCAACCAGAAATTACATGACCTTCTTTAATAATGATTAAAACAAGTTCTGGCTAGCTTGTTCAATGGAGAATAAATCTATTGACTGAAATGAGTTTATTAAGCTATCTACTTGACTGCATAACTCACTGTTTCTATGTGGATTCATGGGCAATGCCACAGACTGTGCTTGCAAAATGATCCTGTTGTAGACTTTCTCTCACCTACTGACTCTGTGGGCACAAAGTGCATTCATTGGGTGACTAAAACAGTAAGTTACACGAATATTGTAATTGTGACAAAAAAGGTGCAGATGCCGTGAGCTAGAAGCTGTGAGCTGACAGATCATTCAAGGCATTTGTCTCTCGCGAGATGCTGTGTTCAGCTGGGAATCTGGTGAGGAACAAGGGTTTGGGGAGCTTAAATCTGACCTTGCACACCTCAACAAGTCTTCTGCTTTCTCATTCGAAAATGTTCACGCATTAAAAAAATAATCTGAACTAGTTCTCTTGTAAGACTTGATATCATTCACTTGACAGCTTTCTTCTGCCATTGCTCTTGCCCTTTTAGCCCAAAAAACATTTCTATGTCAAACAACCTTGAAAGGCTGCTAGAACAAGCTGTCTGCTAGCATTAGGATTTCTAGGTTGCTGTTGTCTTTCCTCTATGATCTACAGTCAATTGCATTCACTTGCATTCTGAACAGCTTCTATTGCTGACATGCTGTCCTTCCATAAATGAACCCTTTCTGTCCTACAGATAGCCTGGCCTATCTGGCAGCAGAGCTCTCATGGCTCAGGTGGGATGCAGCCACAGCAGCTGGCTGCGCAAGTGTGCTGCACCTTCATTCTTACCTGCATAAAATATTCCTCTAGCAAGCAGTCTACCCAGGGCTCAGCGACTTCCATTGGGCGGACTTCATTGGAGATATCACAGCATTTTATCAGTATCATCTTCAGCTGAAAGAGGATAATACTTTAATACTGCAGTTTTCATGCCAGCTCTATTTCTTCCAGACAGAACACTTGTCTTCATAACATGGTGAGGGGAAATGCTCTCAAACAGAAAGGACAGCTTTAGGATTAAATGAGGGTTCTTAAATGGATTATATTCCACTCTCCCAGTTACCCTGTGTAAATTACTTATCTATATGCTCTCTGCCTCAGTTTTTTTGCCTATAACATTGGGATGAATCCCAGTGGGACATGTGCTTCTTGCTGTGTGAAGAGGATCAACCCCGAAAGACCACGTACTCTTTGTGGAACAGCATTCAGAGGCCATGGAGAATGTCTTCCCTGGATGTTAAAGGCTCCAGGATTTTTAAAGCTGGAGTAGTCTATTTTCTATAGAGAAATTCCAAATTTTAAATATTTTTGGTGAAGTAGAAAATTGGTTTTTAACAGTGTGTTTTGAATCTTAATTTTTAAACGAATGAACACTCATCTACAAGAACAGAAGAATGATAATCCACAAAATCTCCTTACGCAGGTCATGTGTTCCTCATTTGAGTAATCAAAATTTTCCATTTTTTCCTTGAAAGAGTCCAGTATTTCTGCATGTCTCGCCATGTCGGTAGCCAGAATTAATGTAATTATCCCCTAGGAGAGAAAACATATTAATACATCAGTTTGTTCTTTGTAAAGTCTATTATTGCAGAGAAAAATAGAGGCTTATGCACAGAAACCCTCAGATGATTACACTGTTAACACTGATCAGACCTGAAATCACCAGGGAAACTGGAAAAGAGTTACAAAGAGTATATGAAAATATCTGTAACTGGTGTGATATTCCAAAGCCATTGAGATTTTTCCTTTCTGACTGACTAATTGTGGAAAGAAACTCTACAAAGGGATGTTAAAGGCCACTTTCTATTCACCAAGATCCACTTTTGGCCCCTTGCAAAGCAATACGTACTTTGGTACTGACTCTTAACAAAGTCAACACAGAAGAGAAAAAAAACAGTAGATGTGGATGTCCTCAAGTGCTCATCCTCCTTGTTTGAAGGGCTTTGAAATATCCAGCTGCAACTAATATGGTAGAGCTTTGTTTGCTCCTGACAGACATGACTTAGGATGGGAAAATATGTGGTTAATTTAAAATTGAAGATTTTTATGCAGATTAGGCCATTTGTGGCTCATTCCTGCTTCTCATGCATTGGCAGAATCAGTGGCTCGCAATGGACCAGCACATGAGCCCTTACACTGATCTACTGTTTCAGCTGGTGTGCAAGGAAGTTGTCATGTATAAACTAAAAATAATTTTTGGTCCTTACTGCTCTAATGGGAATCCTAGCATTGTTCCTGGTCTCAGGAGTAGCCATGACGACTCTCAGTCCACCAGAGCCTCTTCCAACAGCAGAAGTGTTCTTCTGTTGAGCATCTTTTCCTATTTAGAAGCCCCACATTTAAAACTAATGCAATATTCTCTTAAAGCATAAACTTCTGGCATGAGAGCATAATCCCAGTCAGAGCTAATTGGCTCCTTCAAAAAATGTCATAGTCTTTAACAGTCAGAACGTGCTCATTATTTCTTAGCAAGACATTCCAGGGAGTGCTCCTTTGGAAATTTTCCAAGGATCCCTTTTGGATCCTCCCAGTGTGAGGGGCTTTTTTCAGTCCTGCCCTCTGGGGACTGATGCAGCACCACAGCCTTCCCTGCTGTGCATACTGCATCTCCAGGAACAGTCTGTATTGCACAGATGGGACCAGAATTCATACCTGTCTTATCTGTTTGAATTGGTCCTGGTCAACGTTGGAGAAAATGTTGTATTCTGGCTGGGAAATGATCTGGAAAGCCACAGCACAGTGATGGTTCTCCAGTGGGGAGATGTCATTGTAGCGTACCGCCAGCTCCGTTCGTGCATTTATCTGATAGCTGATATAAAGAAAAACAGTGAGAGCTCCTGCAGACGCACACCAGCTGCTTCCTTTTATTTACATTCTTCTGAATACTTATTCAATTAGCTGCAGTTCGGTTTTTATTGCTAATACTAAATCAGATTTTTAGAGAAGACGGATATTACTTTAATATCATCTCAGGCACTCTTCCCCTCCACTTATTTATTTATTTATCTATCCTATTTAACCAAGTAGCTTAAAATGACATAGAGCAAACACAGAAGGAACCTGGCTTCATCCAACTCCTGCTGATGCTGATGGACAGATTCTTACTGATCTCAGTCAACTGAGTTCTGCCCTTATTTAATGAGTATCTGCAAATGTATTAGATTATCACATTTTGTTTTTCATATGTGCATGCACACAAAGGTGACCATGTGTCAACAAAGCTATTTTCCAGTATGATAATAAATAGAATAATGTACATTTCATCATTTGTAATTGCAAAATAATGTGCAAGTCAAATATCCCTTGGCACTTTTTGTGCAAATATTCCATCTCACTTAGTAGAACTATACCCATTTCTGCACTCATTCTCTCCTCTCTGAAATATTTACCTTGTTTTCTCAGGCGCTGGGGGAAGATCTGAGGCAGAAATATAAAAAAGCCTTTTCTTTTCAGAGCCAAGGCCAGCTGGCAGCCCCAACCCAACCTGAGCTTTTCTGCCTTGGCCCATGTATGAGCTAGCAGTAGGGCCTTGGGGGAAGGCCACTGCCAGCTCAAGCTGTGAGAAGGAAAACCTGATCCACCAAAAATGCCGGCTGGCCTTACCTCCCCATCCGAACCCAAGGCAAGCACAAGCAGACTTACGTGTTGTTATAGCCTGGATGGTCCAAGTCGTGGCACACTGCTGCGGTCATGAGAATCAAGATGTCAATTTGGGAAAATTTCTCCTGCAAAATAAACACGTTAATGTAGTATTGTGATTTCTATTAAGTCTGTCCCCAGAAATGAACAGAATTGAAAAAAAAACCCACATTTACACTTCAAGGAAAGGCAAACTGAGCACAATGAAGTATATTTCTGTATGTCAGTTTATTTCAGTGAAGAAAGAGAATTCCGCCTTCCCTTCCAGCAGAAATGACTCAGATTTACCTTTGTTATATTAAATAGCAGCAGCACAGAGAAGCCAATTTTCTCAAAACTTATTTCAGGGATGATATAAAAGCACTGAGATAGTACCACTGTCCCTTACAAGTCACTTGAGCATCTTGATAAGTTAAGGCTGGGCTGGGGCATAGCTGCCGTGACATGCTTATTAACTAAATCCATGACAAGAGTGAGAAAAACTAATACAGTGTCTTCTGAATAGAATGAACTTCCATTCAGATAAGTTTTTCTCCATACTCTTCCTGGCAAGAAAAGCCGGAAACTGTATAGCTATGGAGAAAAAAAAAAAGAAAAAAAAAAAAGAAAATAAATAAAAAGAAAGAAAAAAAAAGGTGATTTTAACTGAATCAGATGTGGTTTGCACAGAAATATGCATACCTGAAGACTGCAGAGTGAGATCATGCTGTACATCATCTGGGTCACACAAAAGCAGTGCCGGAAATTGTGGAAGGGGTTGTTTCTGTAGTTGTCATGAATGCAAAGCTGCAGGGAAAGGGTGCAGAGAGGTCATGAAGGAGAGTCATTTTCTTTGTGAAAATATGTATACGCGTGCTTTTCGTCTCTCCTGTAAACACCCTTTGGCTCCACAAAGCCCTGCAGAGCCCAGCATCCTAATGTGCTAGGACAGGGTGACAGCTCAAGGGTCTGATTCTGGGGAAGGATAAGAGATTGCTGTCTTCCAGGTCTGCTGGCAGATGAAGCCTGCAAGAGGTGCAACCCAGGCTGGAGAGAGGGCACTGTGCTGTGATACTGAATTGGCATTTCAAACTGCACAGCGGATAAACATCAACAGTATGCAGAGAGCTCAAAGTACACCCCCCAGAACTCTTCTTGCTTAATGCATCCTTCCAAAGGATAAATTTCCTATAAGAGTCCTCAAGCCTCATCAGGATCAAACCCTTCAACTGGGGATCTGCCTTTTAGGAGGCCTCAAGGCTCTGTGTGAAGCTAAGAGACCTTTGGGTTTTCAATGTTCATGAAATATTTGTTGGCTTCACTGCAAAAGCTCTTTTGCAATATGGACTTCAGAAATATGTCATTAATTTATATTAATAACTCATAGAATTGTCTGTGTTGGAAAAGACCACTAAGATCACCCAATCCAACCATCAGCCCACCCCCACCATGCCTACTGCCCATGGCCCTCAGTGCCACATCCACACGGCTCTTGAACACCTCCAGGGACGGTGACACCACCACCTCCCTGGGCAGTCTGTGTCAGCGCCACACCAATCCTTCTGAGAAGAAATGTTTCCTGCTATCCAACCAGGCTTGCGAGTGGTAGGTGGCATCTCACAGCCACCACATGGACATGTGGCCGTGGCCAGGCACTGTACGACACAGAGGGATGTGATGTATACACTACAGAAGAGCTCTCCACATCCCCGGGGAGTCCTGACTCAGAGCATTGTAGTGACTGGGCAGTATTAGTCATCCTTCCCTCTGCTTCCTGGAACATTTCCATAGCCAGTGTATGTAGCGGTAGGAAAGCAAGTGTATGCAGGAGGTGGCTTTTTCTCACCCATTTACATTCAAACTGGTGCCCACGCTATGCCTGAGGAGGTGACATAGTGGAAGCAGAGCCCTTCGGGTTTTTTAATCAGCCTTCTGTGAAACTGGTGTTTGAGAGAGGAATCCTCTCCCTGCTGTAGGTTTGTGCAAAATACATACAAAGCTCCTCTTATTGTTCTCAAATGCTAGCACTAGCAAATGACTCGGAATGCAGACTAATAGGAAGCTGCCTGCTGTAGTGCTGGTGGGTAGCATGTTTATGTGTGTTGACATATCACCTTGTTTCCTGTGTTTTCAGGCTGTGAGACGGGAGGAGGAAATTTTCTGTTTTATCTGCTCTGTCTTAGCCTTGATTATATTGGGTTTTATCCTACCCTTTCTGCTCATCTGCTTTTCAAGCTCTGCACTACTAACCTTTTCATATGCCTTCTCTGGGGAGAGATTTCCCCCGTCTTGATCATTTTTTCTCTCCCAATTAGTGTATTCATAGCATTCTTTTATAATGGCTAAACCAGTCCTACATTAGCTCCTACAATAAGCTCCAACCTTATTCCTTATCTAGAGACCTGGTAACATCAGTCCATTTATCTCTTATTCCAGCTCTAATCACTCTAATGCCTTGTTGGAATCAGCCCATAGCAGCACCCCAAGCAGGGATAACTTCAGCCCTGTGCATGCTGCTGCTCTTGCTGTTCTTGTTGGAATGAGGCTTTGTGTTTCTTTCCTAGACACCTTCTGTATGGAATTTGTTAAGTCCTTTCTGGAGGTAATCATTCAAAGCAACCTTCTCCATTCTCTGCATACTCTTCAAATAGTTAGGAGAGACTGTCGAGACATAATTCTTCTTTACCAGAATCATATGAAACATCCATATAATGAACATGATGTTTTTAATTCTAATTTAGATCAGCTTGCTGACTGGAGGAGTAAGTTTTACTAACTGTAGCTCAGAGTGTCATCAGATCCTTCTTAAATAATTTGGCAGAACATTTAATGTTCCTCGTCCTCTAGGAACACAATGGGTTTTTCTGAGAAAGCCAATGTTAAGCTTTTTAGAAATTTGTTTTTCTTGTGCTCCTCCTTGGATCCGATACCACTGATTTTTTAATGCTCCAGTGCCTCTTCAGACATCTTACTTTTGGTATGCTCTTGCCCTTTTCATGTCTTTTATCTCTCCCACATTCTCAACAATAAAGACTAAGAGAAAGAAAGTTATTTAGCTTCTCAGCAATTCCTTTTCCATCCTGTCTTGCTCTTTTACTCCTTGTGATTTAACACATCAAATCACAGAAACACAGAATCATAGAGGTTGGAAGAAACCTCTGGATATCAGTAGTCCAACCCCCTGCTAAAGCAGGTGACTCTACAACCCCTCCAGGCAGGCTGTGCCACTGCTCTGTCACCCTCACAATAAAGAAGTTCTTTCTCATTTTTGCATGGAATTTCCTGTGTTTCATTCTGTGCCTGTTTCCTCTTCACCTGTCACTGAGTGTCACTGAAAAGAGCCTGGCACATCCACTGGATTCCCATTGTTTAGATATCTATAAATTGAGGTTTTCTGGCCATATCTGAAGACACCCATCTCCGCTTCCATTTGGTACCAAGAGCATTCACTGAAATGAACTGCTCTCTGCAATAGAAAGCTCAGCAAACCAATGCAAGGCAGTTAAAAAACTGTCATTAAGAATTGTGATCAGTGACCACAAGAATGCAAACATTTGCTGAAGGACTTAAATTTTAAGAATTTGTATAGTTTACTGCTTTCAGAGGGATAACTTGTGTGAGCCAAATGAATTCCTCGTTTCAGTATTTTGTTTTGTACTAGAAAGATTGCAAACATCAGTAATTTGAAACACTTACCAACCACCTCTTTAATGTGATGGGGTTGATGTTGAAGTCTTTGACCAGTCCAAGATCATGGTACATATGCTCCAAGCAGCTCAGCATCTGCAGCCAAAGAGAGGTTATTGGCATGGTAAATGTCAGTTGGGCTTATGATATGTTGCAAAGTGAATTTCCTCCTTGTACACATTGAGTAATTGCATAGCCCTCTTGTCAAGATGAAAGAAAGATGTTTGAAGATTGCATGATTAAAAACAGTGCAAGAGGGGAGGCAGAAAGGCTCTGAGAGCTTTTTGAAGTAGACAGATTGCTGTGGACTTCATAGGTTTTGTGCTAGTGTTTGAGTCATAGCCCCTCTCTTCAGTAATGGTGATTCATGTGAATCACAGCAATTCCTTCTCATGAAATAGTATAGCCATTTTTCTAACTCAGGAGGGATATGGTCTTGTTCTAGTGCTCATTTAAATCAGTGATGCAGATGGCTGAGGTTCTAGTTATACAGAAAATGACAGCAGCAAGCAAGGTATCTTTGAAGAAATATATCTACATCTTCTCTCCTTGGGAATTTTTGTGTTCTATAAACAACTTTTTTAATACAGATTTCCTTTCCAATAGAAGACCTCTGGTTTCAACGCTACAAAACTGGAGGTTTGTGAGCACCCTAAGCTCTAGCTGGGACTCCTAGAAGCTACGATGCACAGGTGGGCTGCTCCTTTGAATGCATCTGATCTGCAGCAGGAAGGGGAAGGCAGGCACTGCTGCTCCCAGTTCATCTTCAGGGTTGGAAAATATTGCAAATGAAGGGTATCAATAATTAGGTATCTGGGAGCACAGCAGCTGCCACCCACTAGAACTGAACAGATTACTGGGAGTTCAGGAGTGCATGTTATTCATATTTCCATCTCTGAAGGCAAAATCTACAGAGGATAAATGCATTCACTATATTGGCCTGTTCTCTGATCTCAGACTATGGTTCTCAGACTGTGGACTGATCCAGGAATTCTAATATGTTGAGTGTAATGTCACAAATGTGGCCTTGGAGATATTGGGTCTCTTTTAAACTCTCCAGAAAAAAAAAAGAAAGAAGTTTTCATCTATTGAATTTTTATGCTTACCCAGGGAATACACAGAGTTCATGCAGTACCAAGGGGGCTGGCTTTGAGTCATTCAAACAGAAAGAAAAAGATTTTCTTACAAGATCAGAAGCCACACCACTTGGCCAGGATTCCGCTGTAGATCTGTTGACTTGTTCGTAGCCCATCTGAACCACAGAAATTAGGGTTTGCAGCCTGCCTGCTCCACATGGAGCACATGGGCAGATGCTCATTGCTAAATAAGCATTGACAGAATTGAAATATTTCCTGTAAACATGAACCAGAGCAGAAAGGCTGAGACAAACCCATATGGTGCCCTGCTCTCATGCTTGCACAGCATATTATTGCAGAGCAGCAGGCCTCCTCTCAGAGCATGCCTGATCTCCTCACCCTCCTGTTAGCCTCCTTCACGCCACCAGATAGTGTTTCCTAGTACTTTGAATGAGTTACTGCGCTAAAACTCTATGTCTCAGCACACAAGAATCCGTAGATAATGGTTTTTGTCTGTGGTTTGTCCCTGTTCTTTCTTAATAGCCAAAGCAATGAGCCAAAATGCTGTGGTTCACCTGGCAGGTCATAATTCTGTCTTGCTTTAAAGAATTGACAGCCATTCAAAATCTGGAGGCGAGCCATCTTGTACAGCTGTGGTATGTAAGAAAAGGATGGGGAAGTAAGTGGTGAACACCAGCCTTGGCTTGGCAAAGACCAAGGGACACTCTGCCAGCCTCTGCCAGGGAGACTGACCCAAAGGTACCAGAGAGTTCCTCTGTTCTCCCATCAGTCAGAGGCAACATCCTGCTGGAAATAGGCTGCTTCTGTAGGAGAAGCACGGGGTGTTTTTCCTTGTCATGTTACTATAGAGTCAGAATGACTTTTGTATGTTTCTTATTGAGACAGTAATTAAGGTAACTGCAGCTGGAGATGCTTCTAGAACCACCCAGCAACAGCAATAAGAAAAATAAGAAGATAAATCAGTAAGTATAGACTGATAAGTTCATGCAGCCTCTTCACAATGCCCATGCAGCCTCTTCACAATGCCCTGCAGAAAAACCCTTTCCTAAAGGGACGAGAATCAATGCATGCAGCTCTGCCTGCCTTCATGCGGCAGCATAAAGCTCCACTGATTTAAACAAAGTTAGTGCTGGTGCCCTGAAGCATGTACTTTGTTAGGGATGGAACTGTTCAGACCAAACAGCACAGGAGAGCTCCTATGGCAGAAACGATTGTGGAATGGTCACTCTGGGACATTACTAGGAAGAGATTAAAGGAAAAATAAAGAGAAGTTGGAGTATCACAATCAGCATATCAGGTATCTGTTAGGGAAAAGTACTGTATTATGGTGTGAAATGAGAATGAAAAAAAAATACACTGAGCAAAGGGCAGGGGAAAGAAAAAAATGCTCAGGCCTATTTGAATGGATTCCTCTGGCTTTGCTGGCTCTCAGAAAGCCAGCAAAACTAGCTTAGCAGGGCATCAATACCTCATTGGGCTCCCACAACCAGACATCAAATGTTGGTTTCCGAAGTGCTTCTATGGTCTCCTGGGACAGCATGTACTGTGGACAGAAAGGCAGCCAGAGTTAGTGAGGGCCCCTTAACTAGTCCCATCCACAGGGGATTTAGCTGGATTTCCCAAGGAAAGGGCAACACATCTTCTACTTGCCCAGTGGCTCACTGCTGGTTGGCTGAGATAGAATCATAGAATCTTAAGTAGGGAAAGACCCCTGGCATCATTCAGTTCAATCACCAGCTCACCTCCACCATGCACACTGCCCATGTTCCTCAGTGCCACCTCCACACGGCTCTTGAGCACCACCAGGGACAGTGACTCCACCACCTCCCTGGGCAGCCTGTGCCACTGCCTCAACACTCCTTCTGAGAAGGAATTTTTCCTAATATCCAAACTGAATCTCCCCTGGCACAACTTTAAGGCCATTCCCTCTTGTCCTATCGCTGTTACCTGGGAAACAGGAGGGAGGGGTCTGGAAGAAAGAGAGGAGAGCAGAGGCGTTATGGGTGGGCTCGAGGGTAAATCTGCAAAGGGCACAGGGCGCAGACTGGCTGCACTAGCACGAAGCATTGCAACACATGGCGTAGCTGGTCTCGGAGGGATGCTGCAGAGCTGGTGCTTGTAGTGCTAAATTAGCTGGTGGATGTGATACATCAGCTTTGGAGTGATTTATGCTCTCACTTTGAGTATTTTTTTCAAGAATGCCCATGTTTTCAAAGTGGTTGTCAGCCTGCGTGGTTAGAGCAATTTTTTATTGTTATGCTCAGAGGCTTTGAACAAAATGGAGCTCATTGGTCAGTTACAGTTTGTTTATGAAATAAAAAGAAGGAACGTGAAGGGCTAAAAGACCAGTCCATAGCTGCTCTTTCCTGAATCACATTTTTGAAGCTCTGTTGATCAGAGTCTCTCTGGGACACAAAAGCCTTGTAGCTTTAATTGGCCCATTTACTGTGGCTGTCTCTAATTAGTTTGGGCTTACTGCACTGAGCAAGTGAACGAAATTTTCCGAGTCTCAAGTTGCTGATACTTAAGGAAGATAACACTGAAGATGAATGTTCCTTCTCAAGAAGTCAGTTATTTTTGCTTCTGAATATATAATGTTCATGTAATCTGATGTTCTGCAAGAAATGAATTGGTTGTACTGATTTGTTATTTGGTAACATCTCCTTTCAGCGGATCCATCAATTATTAGCCTCACTTGCAACTGGACAAATCCAGTCCCTGACAAGTAATAATGAATCTACCAAATTCATCTAACAGAAGCCAAGCTCCCTCTGAAACTAAAATCCCTGTGAATTTTGGTCCCTGGGCAATACAGACTACTGGCTTACCCTGCAATCACTCAGTACAACTGTAGTTGTTAATTCAAGGTCCTAATATAATAGCAATTGATCTAAAAAAGTTGATCTGACCTATACACTTATCAAGGGAAGGAAATCAGTTTTACAACTGATATGTTTTATGGAAACATGTGTTAGTGTCAGGAACTCAGGACTAACGGGTAAAAGTTAATGAAAAGAAATATAAGGTGTTTCGTGATGCTACTCTCTAAAGCTCTAAAGACCAATATGCAAGGATGCATGTCCACATTACATGCTTTGAGAGCAACCAAGGCAGCTTTGTGTTGTTTGCACACAAAATGAGCTGGTGTTTTGTCAAGGTGTGTGCTGGGCATGGAGCAGAGCACACCTGGTAGCTCTGAATAAGTCATTTGGGCAAAGGTGGCTGGTGCAAGGATTGAAGGTCTGGTGTGCTTCATAGTTCCATCCACATTCATCACTGTAGGTTTGTATTTCTACAAGTATTGCAGTTTTCTCTCGCAAATACACTAATCTCTTTTTGCAGGAACACTGAAATGGCCTAGAGAGAATCCAGTGTTGCATTTTCTCCTTGTTTCCTTAGGTGAAGCATCCCCATAAATTACTTTTTAAATTAAGAAATAATCCATTAGGAGAAACCTGGCAGCAGCACTGTTTTTAATTAGAACACAGCACTATAGGCCTGTCTGATTATTTGCTACATGAATGCAGAATAAACAACTAAACAAAATAGCACTTAATGTTGACAGATGCAAAATATTCATTAAAACCTCAATCACAAATGAGCTTTCAAGAATTAAAAATTACTGAGGAGCCGACTGTAAGCTTCCCACGGGCAATGACTGCTTTTCTTTTAGCTTCCAGTGATTTTGGATCAGGCCATGGGTTTAGCAGAGCTAGGAGACGGGCAGTGAGGAGACAGGCAACATAAACCAGCATTTGTCAAGGCTGTGGTGAAAGCAAGCATTGCACCATACCTTTGGGTAGGACGGCACATCTCGCCGGGGTGTTGGCCTCTTGTTTTCATCCAAAAAGCTGTATTTGCAGGGACAGGTAGTCCTGAAATGAAATATTCAGGGAATGAAAAACCACAGTGCCTCAATAATGGCCAGAAGTATTGAGGTATCATAGTTAGCATTGCCTGGAGAGCCGTGCCTTTTTCTAACTTCTCCTTTCTACTTTGCTGCTGCTCAAAAGCTTTAAAAGTGTGATCCTCTGTAGGATTTTCTCTTCTTGTCCATTGCCCTTCTCGCTCTTTCTCTGTGAATTTGAATTTGAGCAAGGAGCACACATAGATACTCCACTGCTTCTACTTAAACCAAGTAACTTTTCTTTCAGTGAACATCTTATGTCTGCAGATGCTATGATGGAGACCTCCAGAAGACCCTAAGACTGCGTCAGAACTGGTAACCATCTGTTCTGATGGCCAGACCAACTCGACTGCCTTCCCCCAGGTGGAACAGCAGCAGTGAGGCACCAAGCTCAACAGGCACGGTCTGCTTGGCTCCCTAATCTTGGAGAATGGGAATCACTGTTAGCAATTCCAGGTAGTTAACATTTTCCTGGTCACTAGCTGGATATTCAGCACTAGAAAAGATTGCCCAGAGAGGTGATGGATGCCCCCTCCCTGAAGACATTCAAGGTCAGCTGGATGGGATGCTGAGCAACTTGGTGTAGCTGTAGGTATCCCTGTTCATTGCAGGGGAGTTGGGCCAGGTGGCCATTAAAGGTTCCTTCCAACTGAAATGATTCTATGATTCTGTGATTCCACTAACACAGATGCCAGCTGCCTACTCTTCCTCAAAGTTTAGAAGCACCAAGCTTGTTTTATCCCATCTGAGCAGAGGGCTGATCTGATGGTGGGAGATGCCAACAGTCTTTGCAGGACATCTACGCTGCTGCAATTGTAGCCAGCTGCAGAAGCAGCTTCATAGCCAGAGGGGCGCAATAAAACTGATGGCTCCATAGAGTGTCCCCTGGCAATCACGTAGAGGTTTTTAGCTCAGCATATGTTTCAGCAGTAGCTGATCACATGGGCTCTGATAACTCTCATGTAATGTTGATCTTGCATTTTGCATTTCTCCCACCAGTCCTAGCATTTGGATCACCCCTTCTCATTTTTCAACTTCCCTGACAAACAAAGCCAGCTACACGATTTGACCCTATTTTTTTTCAGAATTTCACAGATTTCACATCTCTTCTTAGCATCTTCTCCGTTGGGAATTTGATCAGGTCTATTTTTCTGCTCTTAAAGTTGACCTCTGATACAATTTCTCTCTCTTTTTTTTTTTTTTAATCTGCCAGCAGAGATATGTCACAGAATCACAGAATGGTTTGGGTTGGAAGGGACCTCAAAGCCCACACCACCCCAACCCCTGCCGTGGGCAGGGCTGCCTGCCCCCCATCTCAGGCTGCCCAGGGCCCCATCCAACCTGGCCTTGAGCGCCTCCAGGGATGGGGCACCACAGCTTCTCTGGGCAGCTGTGCCAGCGCCTCACCACCCTCTGCCTCCCGCTGCCCTGTTCAAGGGAATTATTAGCTGGAGAAAAGCTCTCTTCATCATTTTTAAAACGTTTTCTTCAAAATTCTGCTGTGAGGGGTGTTAGTGGGGTCAAAGTAAGGAGATCGGGGCACTCCTTGCCCTAAATGAAGCTGTTCTAGCTTTGGGCCAGACAACTGCCCATATTTCCCAGCTGCAATAAAACATTAAAGCCTTCATCTGGCCACACTGGGGAACAGAACAGAGTTGGGGTACATTGGACCTTTAGAAATGTAAATCTGTATCTACAGATGATCATGAGTTTAAGTGCACTGCAATGCTAATAGCATGTGCCAGCATGAACACAAAAACAGACTGGAAAAAAAACACAATTTGAGTGGATGCAAGTGGGGTTGCTGCTCTGCAGGGTAGAGATACACATTTCACATGCATGGTGATTTTTCTCAACACAGTTGTTCACTGTTAGGGATGTGGTTAGGGGCACGGTGGTGATGGGTTGATGGCTGGACTAGATGATCTTAGAGCTCTTTTCCAACCTTAATGATTCCTTGATTCTATGAGCCTGTTGGGAGGGGGAGCCAGTGCTTGTCCCAATGGGGATCTCATAGCAGCCAGGCCATCTAGAGCCCCTGCTCACAGCAGGAGACAAGGGGCACCAGGAGCCAGCCTGGCTGGGGCCAGTTGTGCAGGGCAGATGCAGCACTCCCTGCTCCTGCTGTTCTGTTACCAGGTTGCTGTTTGTGTTACAGAACATAGGCTGTAAAAAGGCAACCTGGGAGAGGAATGACTCATGGCTGCTGGAACTGCCTTGTACTTCCTGAAGCTTGTGGCAGCTGTCCTGAGAATGTGAACTTGCAAGCATTGCTTTTTGGCTTTACTCAACTTTCCTAAAGAGATTTCCTCACACACCTAGAAGGAACATGAGGCAGCCTGCAATGTCATACTGGTGTGCATCTGGAGAAGGTCTCCTGAGGTTAATAGCATTACTCTGCAGTGATGCTAGTACAATATCTGAATTTGGCCTTACTCTTAACAGGACTGCATTAGCACCTTGCCTCCTGGCGTATGTGGATAGTGATGTTTATAAGCATTCCCAGCAATAGGAAATAGTTTTGATTAAAGGCCACCAAATTTGACCCTAAATAAAGAACAAGCAGACATCAGCACACAGAGCTACTCTTGTTGCAAAGCCCCTTCTGTCTGCACTCTGAGCAAGCAGCATCTCTCCAGTGACCCCCCCAGAAGTGCCCATGGCCTCTTAGTGACGATGCGCTCATCCTGCGTGGGCTTCCCAGTGACACTGGGGCAGAGCCATTGGCTGAGACCACATCCCCTGCAAAGTGCATATTTTTCTGCAGTTCTTTTAATTGCAGCAAAACCAGTCTTGAAAACAGCAGCAAGCCCTCAAAGTAGAAAATTCATTCCCGATTTCTTGTCAGAATTGAAATGGATACTGTATAATAGCATGAGATCATAATTAGAAAAACAGTTACACATATATTTGCCATATTCCCAGAATGTAGTTTGAATCTTACCAGAACTAACTTGAGCTCTATGCAACACCCATGGAAGCACAACACTCAGCAGAAGCCCTCATCCTATTCCTCCTCTCCCCATACATCTGGAAGAAGAATTCCCATTCTGCATGGTGGAACATCACTTTCCATTACAAGACCTGCTTATCTATTCACAGGGCTCCAACTATTTGAACAGACGAATGGCACTAGATCCACAAATATTAAATTCATGCAATGTTTGTTTCCTTACTTCCATCCTTCTAAGCCTGGCAAGCAGCTGGATCCTGCAGATATCTTGCAGGAGGGCCTGAAAGCAGCCACCTATTGCCCTGCTAGGACTGGCGCAGAACTTACCTGCTGCTTCTTGCTGCCATTTCCTCCCTCATCTTTTTAATATCGCTCTTGCATTTCTCAATCTCCACAACTTTCAGGCCTTCCACTGTCAACAAAGGAAAACACCAGGGGTGTTACCGTGGCAAAATCCGAAGGCTCTCCTTTCACAGTTGTGCAGAATTTCAAAGGGCTTCAATAAGGGAGCAGCCCAGATAGCCGGTGAGCCCCACACACATAGGTGCTGCCAAAGCAGTGTGTCATGGAAGCCCACAGGCATTCTTGGCTGCCAGCTTTAGATAATAGCATGAGCTTTTTAATTCGCAGACTGGCCTCAGCGCCTCAGCTTTCCCGCAATTGTGAGCAGCAGCCAGCTTGCTCTAATGCCTTCACTTCTCTGCTGTAGAGCAGGAATCAAAGGAAATCCTGAGCAAAACCCCTTCTGCGATGGGATGATAAGTGCAGCTCGGCAAACGTGTCCCAGTGGGATTAGAATTCCCATTAAGATGAAAAGTTTTAATTTGAAAGGTCATGCAGAGCATTGAGAGGCTCTGAGAGGCATTGCTGGGCGCAGAGAGTCCAAAGTGAAACTGCAGGAGAGAGAGAAATGTCGAAAAGTTTTGGCTGTAACCATTGATTTCATTTTTATGTGTATTGAAGATCCGTCGCTTGCCTTTGCCAATCAATGTTGTAATCAAAGGTTATTTCTGCATGCAACACAGAAAATCCTATATGCCCTCTCTGTGCAATTAGAAAAGCCACGAGGCGAGAAGTTTGATTGCCTGATTGTGCTGCAGCACTTCGGGCCATGCAGCTGGGACAGCCCCACACAAAGCGAGGGTGAGAATGTCCTCCATTCCCTCTTGTGAGCTACTAGTGCGCTCAAGGACAGAACATGGCACCACCTGTGAGGGCCATGTCATTCACATGCCATCATTTCACAGCTCCTTTGTTCAGAATCATAGAATTATAGAATTGCACTGATCTGGAGGGGAGCATCCAAGTGATCAAAAGCTGTCTTGGAAGGCCACAGCTCTGCTTATAAGAAGAGACTGTCTTTCTTTGTGCAGGTAACTGCAAAGGCTGATCCTGGATGAAGAAGTAGGGAAGGGGGGAAAAAGAAGAGGTTGAACCAGGTCAAAAATTTTGCCTATCAGGAGAGGGAAGGGGTAGGGGTTTGGTTTGGATGCCCCATCCCTGGAGGTGCTTAAGGCAAGGTTGGATGGGGTCCTGGGCATCCTGAGCTGATGGGGGCAGGGGCAGCCCTGCCCATGGCAGGGGTTGAGGTGGCATTGGCTCTGAGATCCCTTCCAGCCCAAATCATTCTGTAGTTCTCTAATTCTGTGATTCTGTGATTTATGCTTGACTATGGAGATACTAGCCACTTCCAAATCCCATTTTCAGATGAATGCATATTTTTGCCTAGAGCTGTTGGAAGCAATTTCTTTGGGCAACTTCAATGTGAGGACAGAAACCAGATGCTGTATGGTGCCCATGGGAAGCAGTGGGAGCAGAGCAAGGTTACAGCCCCACAGGGCAGGGGGCAGGCGGCTGCAGGGGGAAGGGCTATGTGGTGCAAAATGGCAGCCTTGAGCATTTTTCCTATTGAGTCTCTTTAACTTGCTTCCAAATCCTCTCCACGGGAGCAGGGAATTTACACAGTTATTTTCTTAAGGTAGATGGTGTGTAAAGAGTTTTCCCTGCTCCAAAGAAAGTGGAACTACAGCATGAATCACTGCCAGTGCCTTCCTTGCACAGAGAACTTTTCCAAGGAGAACTCACAGGCTTTAGACTAGGTCTAAAAAATGCCTTAAAAGATCCCTCAAACACACTGCTGCATATGGGCTGTGTGAGATGATGGTCCTGTTGTGAGCACTTGCTCCTGCACACACATCCCACTGTAGAAGTCTCAGAGATCATACGTGAGCATGGTGGGAAAGGGATCTCCAAAGGAGGTAAAACAAAAGCACAATTCTTTTCCCAGTTTGTTTGCAAATAATAAATGGCCTCATCATGTGTGCTGATGAAGGGCCCATTATATTATCCTGCATTAAGAAATACCCTCTGAAAAGACCCTGTGCTGTCTAAAGAAATCCTTGGACTGTGTCCAGCCTTGCAGCAGGGCTCTTGGAGCAGTTTCTGGGATCCCTGCTTGGATCGGGGGCTCTCCCTCCTTTCTGCTCTGCCTGGAGCTGAAAGCTGTATGTTTGGCTCCATGGCAGTTCGGAGGCCCCACACTGAGCAGCAGGGTGCCTGCACCGCCTGGGGCTGACAGAGGTGACCTTGGAAGGGCTCCCCTGCGGCTGTCCCTGGAGAAGGACATTTTTCTCCCCGCCTTGCTGACAAAGGCATCTCTTTCACTGAGCAGCTGTGGGGTCGAGGTAGCTTCTGGTTGGGAGAAATTTCAAGAAAAAAACTCTTTCCATGAACCAGACACTTTGTTGTTGGTTTGTTGGTTTATTTTTTAGCTTCGATTTTTTTCTTTTTTTTTCCAGCCAGCCCAGTAAGAAAGTGTTTTCTGCAGCTGTAGAGGCAGTGAAGTTTAAATGCTGCATCTCAATGAGGATGTGGCCTTTGGCAGCTGAAACTGCACCATGTGACAGTGCCTTATTCACCCTCCTACCCTGCGTTTCTTGGGCCCATTCTACACTAACAGACTGAAGAATGGAAGTAGGATGCTGCCTGGAAAGAAAAGGAGCTCTTTGGCCAGATGAACTTTACTTTGTTGTTGCACAACCGTGTCACTGTCAGCTCACTCAACAAGCTGGGTGAACTGGAAGTGATAGGTGAGCCTGCTGCATGTGGCCCAGGGCATGGACAGGACTCCAAGGGCATGCAGTGACAAGAAGTAGCCCTTGGGGATAAGGATCTGCTCTGCTGCACATGGAAAATAGCCCAGCCCCATTCCCAGCAGGAAAAAAAGCAGAAGAAGGAGGGTGACATAGAGTTATCAGAAATAATGGAGTGGCAGGGGGGCCGAAACTGGGGATGGGGAGGTCAGGGTTGCAGGAGGGGTGCCCTGGGATGAGACAGCACGATGGCAGCAAAGGGACACTCACGTTCCACCTTTTTCTCCAGCATTGCCAAGTGATTAGCTACTTCCGTTTTCAGTTCATTGATTTTAAAAACCCTGGAAAGAAAACCCCCATGTGTTAATGTCATACAGTTAGAGCTGCGTCAACCCTAGCTGCCAACTGCCAGAACCCTCCATGCTTCTCAGAGGGTCGATCAGACTGCTTGGGACTGCCATAAGGGACAGGAGATCTTTCATGGCAATGGCTCTGGGATTGCACTGTGGTTCTGCACCCTTCTGTGGGCAGCAACTCACTGTCGTGTCCCTCTGGAGGCAATGTAAACCCATAGCGTTTCCTAACGGCAATGTCTTGGGGCTGAGCTCTCCTCTGAGTGATTCTGGAGGTTTGATGAGATGTGATGAGGTTGTTCTGCCCTGTGGAAAGCAGCTGCGGTGAAATTATCAGCTATATGGATGCTTGCAAGTCTCCATTGAGGAGAGAGCTTCGTGTGTTAAAGGGGCGAAATGGAACACATCTGATGATTTCTGTGTTCTGCACATAAATATTTATTTTGTTTCTTAAGGGGGCAGAAACACAATAAGAGCATTTATATTTAATACGTGATCTCCTTTTTAGATCAAAGAGAAGCCAGGGCTGCTACTGGTTGAAGATACTGCACTGCTCTCAGCAGGAGGGCTGCGTGCATGGGGCCTGAATGTAGCGTGGGAGTGGGACTGCAGAGAGACCTTAAACACCCCTCTGCCTCCTGGCAGAGTTTCACTTCTGGCTGATGAAAGAAACGCAATTTTAAATAAATTATGACATTCAGCGTCCTACCTTGAGAACTGCTCGGCAATCTGTCCCAGTAAATTCTGGAACAATTCTTCTTTCTCTAAAGAAAGAAAGAAACAAAAAACGGAAGGGAGATGTGAGGAAAAAAATATATATATATATATATGTATACTGGAAAGACACTCAGCATCTTTGAGACGGGGCTCTGTGATGAATCAAAAAGGTACTCTGGTCCTCTGAGAGGTGTCAGCATCGGGGCAGGAAGGTTGGGCTCTGCTCCACTTTTCCCCTACTGCCTGCAGCTTGCAGGAAAACTATGCTAGGAGTGTGCTGGGGTGTTGGGAGGCACCTGGTGTGAAAGCAGTGAGTGATCCCTTGGGTGTCCCCAGCCAGGACACCGGGCTCCAGTGCTCTGGGAGCAGGGAGGTGTGCACGCTTTGTACACACACTGCAAGTCAGTGAGCACTCCCCGCACTGAAACACCTCCGTGGCATTTCCTAAGCTACTTCTGAACCAGCACAAAATGAATGAGGCAGAAATGCAGCCCAGCGCTTGTGACATTCCCCAAAATAACAGCTCCTGTACTTGTTGAAAAGATTTGCAACCCTTCAGATCTGATGCCAGAATACTCCCTGGGATTATTTCTGCACAAAGCACTCTGCCTGCTTCCTCGGGTCCCAAAGTGGAGCAAGCACTCAGTGACTGGGGGGCTCTCAGCAAACCCCCACGTTCCTGCTGCAGCCTAACTCCCAACAGAGCATCCGGTTGCAAGACAATATCCATTCCCATCACAAAAACCCATTTCCCAGTTTCCTCACCCCTAAAATAACCCAAGTCCAGCACTGAAGGTCTGACGGAGCAAGCTCTGTGCCCTATCTAGGGAGGCAAGGAAAACTTACCGTGCACCGGGATGATGTGAGAGTCCGGTGGTGAGATTTAGCAGAGCCACCCGCGTCCTTGCCGGCACCGCTCTGAGCGCTGACAGCGTGCGGGAAGCTGGCGAGTCCCCGATATCACGGCTCCAGTAGGAGAGCAGCCAGGCTGCCTCTCGTTCCCTCCCCTTGTCAAAACTCACTGGGAGTACTGGGACGCTCTCATCCCAGGAACAGTCAGCTGCAATCTGATGTTTATGGATGTAATAAAAGACTTTCAAAACGAAGATGTATGTTTTTATAACCCTAGGGTGCAGTACAGATATATGACTAAGAGTGGCAGCTCGCCTCATCTTAAAGGGACAATGAGCCATTTCTCTGCCCCCTTCCTGTCGGAGGGGCGGACCTCCAGTAAATCTCAGTTCAGAAGAAAATGAGGCATTAAGTCGTGCTTGTCCCCTCTACTGTGGAATAGAAGGGACAAGTGTCCTTTTGCTCATAGAATCACTAAGGTTGCAAAAGACCACTAAGATCACTTAAGTCCAATCACTCCATTAGCATCTGCTCACTTTTACTCACTCCTCTGGGCAGAGCTGACACCCCAGGTGCCCATACCACCTATGTGCCTCAGCTGCTTTACTTTTTCACCCCAATTTTCCCTTGAGAAAGGAGCAATCCCACCTTTGGATTGCAGATCCTATAGGCAGCAAGGCAGCAAGATGCCAGCAAGGCAACTCAGATGCCCTGCAAATCTAGGCTTTTTTTCCCCAGCCTTCAGGGCTGACATGCTGGGGTGCACCCATCTTGCCTGGTGGGGCACAGGGTGGTCCACCTCTTTTCTGCCATAGGCAAGCAGTGCTACGAGAACATGGGTGTCTGCCCTGCTCCTCGTCCTCATGTGTGCTGTGCCCTTGGTGAGGCACCCACCTGTGCTTCCCTCTCTGTGGTTTGTTTGGGGATCCGGGCAGTCGGAGGAATTTAGGAAACACACAGGCAGGTGGACAGGAGCCTTGAAAAGGAATGTGCATAAAGCCTGCATCCATGTTTTGCACAGTATTGAGTGCCAAACTCACTTGGCAGCTTGGGATAGTTTGGGCTGCGTGTGTAAGCCCTGACAGGTGAGTCATCCCAAGGCAGCTGCCCCGCAGCAGGAAGCAATGGGGGCAGCAGCAGGGGCAACAGGGATTTTTCTCATGTGCTCTGTGCCTCTTCTCTCTCATCTGAGTCATAGGTGTGCATGTGCCTCCAAAAGAAAACAGGGATACAAAGATTTAGACATGAGGAGAAGCTTCTGTTGCTTTACCAGAAGCAAATAGGTACCTGCACAGGACCCTGTACGTTGAATTGTCCAGGAAATCCATGTGCTGAAGTGGCCTCTAGTCCCATCAGGACAGCAGTGAGAGCACTGCTCTCTCTGTGTCTCATGGGAAATGGGAAGTTCATATTAGAGACCCCACAAGAATAAGCCATAAACTGTGGTGTGGGGAGAGTGGGGACCACACTCAGCAGATTTCATGTGCTTTTGGATGATATCCCCAGTGACATCCCTGGGCTTGCTTAGATAACCTAGGCATGGTTCAAAATCTCCAGCCCATGGTTCCTCCCATGCAGGACCACTGTGGGTCAGAACCTCTGAGCACAACGGGTCCTTCCTCCATGCTGTCAGAAGCCTTGTAGTCTTCAGTTTTTCCTTCTCAAGAGCGTGCTGCCAGCAGGATTTGTTAATTGCTATCTTCACAACATTGAATGAATGTGCCTGAACTACAATAACAACCTAAGCGGGGCCATCAGTTTGTGAGCTGTCATCCCACTCCACTTTGATCACACAGACCAGAGTCCCACTGCTGCTGGGAGGGATGAGGTGTTGGAAGAAGGTTCTCTGCAGACCAGGTGAACACAGTGTCTGCCTGGGAATCCAAATGCCTCAAAGAGGGAGACAAGGGCAGGGGACAGCAGGTGGTGGATGCAGTAACTTCACAAACAACTGGTTGTGAGAGCACAGCTGCATCCAGCAGATGCTGGAGTAATAACCTCTTTAATTCCAACCCTCTCCCGTGGCTATGGCCAGGAAATGAAGAACAGTCAGTTCATCTACAGTTTCTCAGTAGGACTCTGGTGGATATCTCCTCCGCTGGATGGAAGCCACTGCATGTATTTTCCTCCCAAAGGATCATCTTTTTCAGTCCCACCTTTTACAGCCTTTGTTCTGCTGAAGGATGGGCTGCTCTCATCCAGCTGCTTGGGAGACTGCTGGAAAGATGTTCAGGAGCTCCCACACAGTGGAAATGGGGTTACCCTCCTTGCCTTTGGAAGAGTCACTCTGGGAGGCAGAATCACATAGGCAGAGCTGTTTCAGAAGTGATGGCCAGAACAGAACTGTTTTTTCTCTCTTAATGAAGAACAATTTCCCACTCTGCTCATTCTTCCTACTCTCAGCAAAATGTCAGGAATGCTTAAGATTAATGACAACCCATGTGAAAGAGAAACAGACACCAAGGAACACTCGTTCCATCACACACAGTTCAGCTTTCTGCCCCTTTCCATCGCAGACTCTGTTTTATGCTTTGGCAACCACCAGAATTTTTCTTCCCTTTTCAGCTCAAATTTTAGGAAAGTTTTGTTTTACAAAACATGGAGAGAGAGAGGAGACCTTGTCGACACAGTGAGCTGCATTCAGAACAAAGTAGAGCCATGGGCTGTCAGCTAGGCTGAAGAATGAGGGCCTTGGGAAAGTGTGAAAAGTCTTGTATGGTCTTATAAAAATATACAGCTAGCGTCACGGGGGGGGGGGGGAAAGAAAGAAAAAAGGCTGTTTTCTAGAAAGCCCCTCATCCGGCTTCCCTGCTGGTACTTCACAGTGGCATTCCTTGGTGCAGCCCCACCAGCAGTTGCCTTTCTTAATCTTTGGCAGATAAATGTAATCCAATTGAGATCCCTCCTCTGACCTGATCATGCATGCGTGCAGTGTGTTGCTGCTCCTGCTGAGTTCGTTAGGATCAGGAAATAGTTCAGCAGACAGCTTCCTTCCCCTTAGTGGTCACGTGTGTCCCCTGGCTTTCACTGTTGACCTGGGACCTGTTTATGACTTACAACAAACCTCTCTGTGATAAAGTTCTTCCTTGTTTTCCAGCTGCTCTCCTTTGCTCTCTGTATGCACAAGGGCCTCGCTGTTGCCTCTCAGAGTCTCCCTGGGCATCCTCCAATGTTGCCTTGCTGTGCCCTCTCCTGCAGATGCTTCTGCCACAAGGAACATGGGTGCATCATAGAATGGGTTTGTTTCCCTATCTTTCCCCTCTCTGAAAAACAGTACTCACAGACATTAGATTTTCTCACAAAAGCCTAAGCAAGAATCAGAGAATCATTTGAGTTGGAAAGAACCTTTCAAGTCCATCTTGTTCAACTCCCATGCAATGAACAGAGCTACAGCTACATCAGGCTGCTTAAAGGCTCTCCAGCCTGACCTTGACTGTCTTCAGGGATGGGACATCCACCACCTCTTGGTGCAACCTGTGCCAGTGCATCAACAGCCCTGTCCTAAAAAGCTTCTTGTATAGAAGCTAAATCTCCCCTCTTTTAGTTTGAAACACTTTCCGCTAATCCCACCACAACAAACCCTGTGAAAGAGTCTTCCTTAGATAAAGAAAGGCCACTCTCATGTCTCCCCAGAGCCTTCTCTTCTCCAGGCTGAATAGCCCCAGCTCTCTCAGCCTATCCACACAGGGGAGGTGTTCCACTCCTCAGACCATTTTTGTGGCCCTCCTCTGAACGCTTTCCAACAGTTGCATGTCTCTCCTGTATTGAGGACTCCCCATCTGGATGGAGTACTCCAGGTAAGACCTCACCAGTGCAGAGTAGGAGGGCAGGATCACCTCCCTCACCCTGCAGGCCACACTTCTTTGAATGCAGGCCGGGATACAGTTGGCTTTCTGTCCTGCAAGGGCACATTGCTGGCTTATGTCTGTCCAACTTGCCATCCACCGGTACACTTAGGTCACTTTCTCCAGGGCTGTGCTCTGTCCTTTTGTCCCCAGCTTGTCCTGATAGTGGATTCTGCCATGACTCAGGTGCAAGACCTTGCATTTGGATTTGTTGAACCTCATGAGATTCACCTGGCCTCATTGCTGGAGTCTCCTGGATGGCATCCTGTCCCTCAGGCATGTTGACTGCACAGCACAGCTTGTGCTGAGTGTGCACTCAGTTTCCCTACTGGTGTAACTGATGAAGATGTTAAAGAGCATTAGTTCCAGTACTGATCCCTGAGGGACACCACTCATTACTGATCTCCATCTGGACATTGAGAAGAGGTGGGACCTGACACTAGCAAGGAAACAGCCAGACTGGTTTGCTCCTGCCTCGAGAGCTTAACTCATCTCTGTAAATCACTATTTTTTTCCAGTCCCAGGCTTTCTGTCTCCTTCCTGCCCTTCCCACGTTCTCTCCATTCCCAAGATGATTTTAAACTCTTGTCCCCAACTCTTCTACCTTTCCATTTGACTCCTCCAGGCTGTCTCCTGCTGATGTACCCTTCCATCCCCAGTGTACAGCATAAGGTCCTGCTCATGGATGCCTGTGAACCAGTGATAGGAGATATTGCAGTTACACAGATGTGGACTGTCATAAGCTGGATGCTGTGCAAGAATTGCCCCAAGCAAACAATGTGCTACAGTGCCTGATCCTGACAGTGGACTGATCCTGACAGTGATGTGCAAAGAAAAATGGCAGAAGTGCCACTTCAGTCCTGTCCATGAGGGAAAACACCACTGTGCACCAGGGAATGTAATTCAAATGTCATCTTTCATCCAGGCCTCTTTTAATCATGTCATGTGTTTTAAAATATTTATTACACTCCAAGCTACCATGCCTGAAACAGAAATTCTGCTCCCTTCTCAGCCATTTGGAAATAACATGGAGTTCAAACACAATGCTCAGCTTTTAGCAAAGGTTTGCTGAGAGATGAACAAAGCGCTGAAAAATGGGATTGCAAATGCGGTTGGCGATGCCCTAGCTGAACTGGTGCTCAAGGAGGGGCTTTCCCTGAGATATCAGCAATGTTGAGTTGGGCCCAAACTAAGTGCTTTAGAAGTTCCCTGGGCCCCAGCCATTCTACATTATCTTCAACATATTATCTTCCAATTGTGGGAACAACTTTTTTTACTTTTCCTCCTGAACACTTTCAGGAGCCATAGCTACAACCATGACAGTCATCTTTCTTGTGTCACAGCCATGTAATTTCCACATGGAAGTGGCTGCAACCTCAGTTTCAGCAAATGCAATGCAAAAGGATTATTTACCTGAGAGCTGCCCAGTAGCAACAGGTATCACTTTGTATGGAGACCTGGAAGAGTTGGAGAGGGTTGATGTTAGCAGTGCTGAGATTGCGGCTTGCATTTCACATCGGCATTCTCTGAGAAATATCACAGAGCTGTAAAATATCCTGAGCTGGAAGGGACCCATAAGGATCACTGAGTCCAAATCCGGGCTCCACACAGCACCAACAAAACTCAAACAATATTTCTGAGAGCAGTGTCCAGATGCTCCTTGATACTCCAGCATTTGGGTCCATGCCCACAGCCCCGTGCATCCCGTTCCCCGCCCACCGCCCTGTGGTGCAGCCCCTTTCCCTGACCCCCAGCTGCCCTCCCCTGACGCAGCTCCATGCCGTTCCCTCGGGCCCTGTCGCTGTCACACAGAGCAGAGCTCAGCGCTGCCCTCCGCTCCCTGTGAGGAGCTGCAGCCACCATCAGGCCTCCCCTCAGCTCCTCTGCTCTGCGCTGAGCACAGCGAGGGGCCTCAGCCGCCTTGCCCTCAGACCCTTCGCTATCTTTGTAGCCCTCCTTTGGACGGTCTCTAATAGTTTAATGTCCTTATATTGAGATGCCCAGAACATGGCATCATTGTTTGTGATGACAGTGACAAGTGATGATGGAATACACAATGAAATAAGTAAAAACAAATGTGTTAACTGCAAGCAGACAGGGTGAAAATAAAAGTGCAAAGTTGAACAAGCAACGGGAAGCCAAGGAGAAAAAGAGAAAGGGATCTGAAGAAAGGAAGGGCTGATGCCAGCATGGAAGAGGCCCAACCTCATCAAAGAGTTGTGCCTTCACTTGCTGCTGAAGTCATTGTTGGTCCTAACAGAGCAACAAAGGCGCTGGGAGCCTTGACAGCATGCGGAGTGGAATGGGAAATGATGTTCAACATCAAATACTTAAAAGCGCAATTTCTTCTGACTATAATTTCTATTTAACAATAAGCAAAAATTTTCAAAACTAGCTGGCGTCAGCATTTTGAGTTAGCATTCAGTTCTCTCCGTAGGCTTTCCCTGGAGAGCTGCTTACCTCGTGTTGCATACCAAGAGGCATCTGCAACCCAACACCCACTTTCCCTCAGGCATCACCAAGGGTAACCTGAAGAGCAGGTTACCGTGAAACTTACCTCTCTGAGTTTGCAGGCATCGTCGGATCAATGGACACCATGCAATTATCTGCCGTCAAGAGAGAGATGGTTGTGTTCCTGAAAAGTATGTTCCACAGATCTTTATTTGAGCAAGAAACACTGGCTGAGATCTTGTGCTGCTGTGTACTACGTGTAGCCAGCTTCCCCTATGCTATGTTCCTGACACTGCCCCATCCACACTCTAACTTGGCACAAGAAGGATCAGAGTAGGAATGATGTTTCACCCATTTCAATTGCCAGAGATGGTTTTGGGAAAACGTTGTATGATCATCTTTGATCTCAGAGAAAACTTTGCTCCCTGCTAACTCGTGTATGCTGTTGACTCATCAACTAATAATTTCTGCTGAAAAGCTATGTTTTGTGATACATCGACTCAGCAGCTATATATTGACTCATATTACACAAATGACTACCAGTTTTTAAACTATCTAGTTACTCCCTTACCAAAACAAACAAAACAGACGTCTTGCTGAATATGGAGACTTTATTTTCATCCTGTACTACATGTGATCTCATAGGCTCACATGTAAGCCTTGGATGTTTTCTTCGTTTCCAGGAGCCTGATTACAATGAACAATTAAAAGTTTTTACAATCAGGGTGGTGAGGCACTGGCACAGGTTGCTCAGAGAGGTGGTGGATGCCCTGTTCCTGGAGAAATTCAAGGTCAGGCTGGGCAGGGCTCTGAGCAACCTGGTGTAGCTGTAGGTGTCCCTGTTCATTGCAGGAGACTTAGACCAGGTGGTCTTTAAGGGTCTCTTCCAACTCAAATGATTCTTTGATTCTTTGAAAAATTGTGGAAGATTGTGGAAGTCCTCTGATGAAAATAAAAGGCCAGATATGCTGGGAACACTGAACTCATTAACAATTCTGACCACTAAACAGTGTTTCCTTGTTGATGGAGTGGAAGTACTTGATATCAGGGGCAAACAAGAGTTATTAAGGTCTCTGATGTCAAATTGGAAGAAAAGGAAAGGATAAACAGAAAAAAGTACTATGTACAGCAGTCTATGCAAATTCCAAGTCAGTGCAGACTCAGAATAGACTACAAACAATGTTATCTTTCAGTCCCAAACTAGAGTCATGCAAAAAAACCCCCACACGATTAAAGGATTATTTTCTTTTCCCTGTTTTTTGGTTTGTTTTTGTTTTTTTCTTTTCTTTTCTTTTGGTATGATAAACCTGTATGTACAGAGATAAACAACATGGCTTATTGAGTGCTGCTGCACAGCTTTCTACCACTGCTCGATGTCACCAGTGGACAGTGGATACTCTCTGATAAGGGTGGGGTTGTGACATGGCTGGGGGGACCGCCATCCCTTATTCTGTAAAATGGTTCTGAGGGGATGTTTTTTTACTATCTCATATCTGGGATTAGAATCATAGAATCACAGAGTCATTTGAGTTGGGAGGGACCCTTAAAGGCCAGCTGGTCTAGCTCTCTTGCAATGAACAGGGACACCTACAGCTACATCACATTGCTCAGAGCCCTGTTCAGCCTGGCTGTGAATGTCTCCAGGGATGGGGCATCAACCACCTCTCTGGGCAACCTGTGCCAGTGCCTCACCACCCTTTTTCCTTATATCCAACCCAAATTTCCTTTCTTCTAGTTTGAAAACATTTCCCCCTGTCTTATCACAACAGATTCTGCTAAAGAGTCTGTTCCTTCTTTCTTACAGCTCCCTTTAGATACTGAAAGGCCGCTCTCAGATCTCCTCAGAGCTGTCTCTTCTCTAGGTTGAACAGATCCAGCTCTCTCAGCCTACCACTAGTCTGTAGTGTATCTAAATAGCACCTCCCCTATGAGGACAGAGTGAGGGAGCTGGGGCTCTTCAGCCTGGAGAAGGGTCCAGGGAGACTTTAGAACAGCCTTCCAGCACCTGAAAGGGGCCTACCTGCCTTTATAAGGGCAGGTAGCAACAGGACAAGGGGAAATGGCTTTAAACTGGCAAGGGTAGATTTAGACTTGATATCAGGAAGAAATTCTTTACCGTGATGGTGGTGAGACAATGGAACAGGTTGCCCAGTGAGACTGTGAATGCCCCCTTCTTAGAAGCAGTCAAGGCCAGGCTGGATGGGGCTTTGAGCAACCTGATCTAGAGGGAGCTGTCTCTGCCTGTAGCAGGGGTTGGAACCAGATGATCTTAAAGGTCCCTTCCAACCCAAACCATTCTATGGTTCTATGATTTAGTGGCAGTGTTTCTCAGTGGTCTCAGGTTCTTTACTTAAAAATCATGTTTTATAAGTATGATGGTGTTTCAGTCTCTAGGGACAAAAATGTAGTGCTGGGGTATGGGTATAATTGGTAGATGCACAGAGCCTGCATATGCTCTTGGCTAGACTTCTGTGCTGCCTGTAATTTTTGTAGAATAGGCAACTAAGCACTCACCAGGGCTTTGTGCACTTCTCCAGCTGGGTTCTCTGCACAGCCCCCAAATTATTCCAGCAGTCTGGAATAAAAAAAGAAGCCTGGAAAGCAGGTAACCAGACCATTTGGGGCCCAGCTTTAAATTGTCCCTAGGAGTATCAGAGCAATAGTGAAATGCATGTGATAAATGAGAGTCTTACCTTGGTAACCCTGTTGCAATGCAGAAGAGGTCCATGATATCCCTGGAGTTGCAGTACTTACTGAAGATCACCTTCCAAACAGAACAACAGAAGGAGAAAAAAAAATGGCAGAGGAGAGAAAGGACAGTTAGTTCCCAGTGAGATATGAACTCTATTCAGGGTTGAAGTGGGACAATGTTAAGGCTAATCTTATCATTTTAATTATCTGATCTGACTCATGAGCTGGAATATTTCTCCGCTCTAGCTTTAATACCTGTGCTTCATTTTGATAAAGGAAGAAAGCTCAAGAGACCTAATTGTGCTGCTCTGAAGCCGAGCAGTAATGTATGACGACTGATGGCAGAAGGTATCTCACAATGCAGATGAACTGCAGGATGGCAACAACCACAGATTTAATTAAGCAACGCCCTGGATTTTGAAAGTGACTTTGTTTCTTTTAAACATATATCGTCCAGATATAAGGAGCTCCTTGGATAGCATAAGAGTGCACTATTATTTGGATTACTCCACCAAAAGCTTGCTGTAAGCAGAAGAGAGCATTTCCCCACGGTCATGCCCAGTTCCCCATGGTCTATCAGCATTGTTCCTAATGCAAGGTCAGAGCTCACACCTTAAAAGGCCAGCAGTGAGACTGAGAACACAGCATTCACTTGACACTCAGTGACATGATCCTACACTCCTGGTACCACAGAGATGTCATGTGAGGCCCAACCCAGAGCTCTGCTGCTCACAGAGATGAAGCTGCAGAGGGAGAAGGTAGGATGCTCTGCCGGCAAGAAGGGTGGGTGTCTATTAATTGCTTGGGAAAATGTGAACTCCGGGAGTTTTGGAGGCAGCACCAGGCCCTGGAGAGGCTGTGCTACCGGGAGTATGCTCTCTGATGCTTTCCTCTGCCCATGCACGCCTCCACACTGTTGTTCCAGCATGAGCTTTTCTGGCTTCTTGTCTCACCTACCACTCAGTTCACCTTACCCTGACTCTCGTACACCCACACAACCCGCCTGACCTAAAGCTCTAGCTCTGTGCCCACTTACAGCCCTGTAAGAGTATAGGCTGAGATCAATATGAGCTTGCCTTTTGGAGCTGGAGGTTTATGGAAACCTATTTCACCATCTTTCCTTCTGAAACACTGGAATAATCAAGGCAAAAACACAATGTCTGGCCGCCCTGACTCAGTTCTGCTGTGCATGAGATGTGATTCAACAAACCCTTGTTCCAACGCTGGAGCAATACGTCAGATCTCAGTTTGCACTGGCAGTTAAAAGTTCTCTTATTTTTCAGCTGGGCATCATTAGCTGTGTGACACCGATCTCCTCTAGAGACAGCTATGACTGATACAGAAGCACACACTCACCTTCCCTGTTTCCTGACCCAAATGAAATTATAGTAGGTAATTTATTTACACTGTAAACTCCAAGACAATTGATTGCTAGTAGTTAGCATTTGTTAGTGAGGAAATGGGTGGGATTAATGTCTGGGTGTGTTCTAAAAGGTTGTCCTAACTATTTCTGTGATTTACCCTTGTTTTTTAAAATGAGTAGTTATGAAAGCAATAAAGCAGAGCTAATCAGGTTCAGATAGTATGGAATCCTGCTCAGAGCAAAACACAGCATCCCATTGGAGTGTTAGCTGCCAAAATTGGCTGACAGAATGCTGGGAAACTGCTCCTTTATCAACTACTGGTACTTGCAGAAATGGAGCAGATGATGTTAATTGTATCTGAACACATGGTAAAGGCTTGTGATATGATGGGAGTGCTATTTCAGGTATTGAGGTTTCTTCTTCTGGAAATCAATTATTGACTGGGGCAGAGGAAAAGGTTAAAAATATATATTTTAAAAAACATTAAAGGTAAGAAATGCAACCTGACTCACAGAAAGCAGCAGGAGCTTTCAGTGTACTGAGGAGGAACATTAATGCCTCCCTTTACTCCATGCAATAGTGAAAGAGTGGGAAGCAAAACAAAGACTGTAGATATTATTTTCTCGATTGTGAGCTATTCTCATATGTGCTATATATCTTTCCATATTTGACGTTTCTCTTTAAGTTTACTAAAAGTGGATTTGTGAATCACCCACTGTACTTTGATACTCGTCTTGGGATGTAAATGGTTGTTTCCAGCTGTTCCTTTTTTCCCCTTCTAATCAACTACTAAAGTTCTCTGCTTTTGCAACCTGCTGAGCTTTCCTGACCAACTTCCTTCTCTTTTAAAACAAAGCAGACAGCCTCAAACATTTCCCAGAACTGTGCAATTGTTCCTGTTATTGCCTGCATGATTATGTTCCCAATAAAGCCAGTGTCAGTTGTGTGTGTCTGTGGAATACGACTGGAATGTATTTTGGACAGTGCTGTGTACTATTGATGGCTCCAGCACGGTATAGGAATCCAATTTGCCTCAAGTCCATTATCATAGCAGGGACATTAGCACCATAAAGCCAATACAGTGACATATGGCTTGTGGCTGTACTTGAGCCAGCTAGGACATACATTTTTTTTTCCCATTATTAGAGAAGGTGGTTGTCCTGCAGCTTTGAGTATTACACTCTGTCTGCTTTTGATGGTGATGTGAAGCAAAGGGGGAAAAAAGAATAATGAATAATAACTGAGGCTTTTTGGAGTGGAAATAAGATGTTGATGAGGCATGCAGTAGCTGTGAAGTAGGACAGAGTGGCTCAAGAGTGATGCATGGTTCCCAGCCCAGAGATCCTTTCTGTGGGCTGAAACTGGAGGCTGTTCTCTGTGCTGGAGAAAGTTCTGAGCTTTTTGGGAACTCTTCATCTGATAGGTCATTCTCTCTTGACCCATAGTATCCACTCTGGCAGGGGATAAGGATTTTAAAACAAGTAGAGATTAAGACTGCTGGTATCTGTCTGGCTTTCTCACTCAGAGAACTAGTTTAATATTAAGGGTCATGATGGAGATACCAGTATGGGACCACAGTGCTCACTCTGTGACATACGAGTTTACAACTAATCACATTATATTTTGCTATGAGATAGGATGGGTAAAAACATGGCCTACAAATCCAATTTCTGCTCTATATTTGATCCTGAGAACAGTTAATCCTCTCTGTACACTGCAAACCCTGTCCAAAGTGTTATCCTATCCTGATCTACTGTTGGTAATTGAGTTTTCCAAGTATTTAACTAGTATTTGTTTGGTGTTTTTTTACTCTACTAAAACTCCTCAGTGAATAATACAGGAACATTTTCAAAGCTAGTCTATCCCCAGTGTGTAATCTCAATTCCTTTTGCTTGCTATATTCAAGACTTCTGGCACTTGCTGGTGCTTTTTCATTTTACAAGGAGAGCACCCTTTCAGGGCTGAAATAGTGGAGTTAAAGCAGTCTGAAATGATAATCTTTGACTAATGAGACTGAAAGATATGTGTCAGAGAAGAGTCTGGTAAAATTCAGCTATGTATCTCACATGGACTGTGGAAATCGTTGCTGCTTCTGTTACAGCAGCTTTCATGGAGGATTTCTGAACAAGACAGAGGGCTGATGTGAATCTCTCCAGCATGATTTGTTGTCCATATCAAAATGAAACAGAATCCAGAGCTCTCAGTTAACAGTGCAGAAATCATTGATAGAAACTGATTGTTCAGACCTGTTTGCAAATAGGTCTTCCTCAAAAAATAGTGATAAGAGCATCTACTTTATCAGGCACTGTTCCTGATATTCAGCAGAAGCCTTACCTAGCATCCTGCATTTAAACATCTCTTAGACTTCTTTAAATTCAGATACAAATATTATAACATGAGTCCAGCTACCTCAAAGACATCTGTGTATTTTTTTTTCTCTGCAACAGTAAACAACAGATATTTGTGAAATCTCTCCATTTTTCTGAGCTTCAAATGTTAGACAGTATTAAAAATAGTTTGCCAGCTTTGCCATCTGTTAGATGCTGTAAGGAGCTTTGCTAAGAGGGGAACAAAAAATAAGTTTGTGCATGCATAGACCTGTATGAGAAAGAAAGGAAAGAAAGGAAAGGAAGGAAAGAGGGAGGAAGGAAGGAAGGAAGGAAGGAAGGAAGGAAGGAAGGAAGGAAGG